TAAAATAACATATTAAATAGTTAGATATTAGTTAGTTTTAATAGAATTATTTTAGCTTTAAATTGATAGCATTGATTATAATTGCTAATGTGACTTGCCATACTCTTGCAAATCATATGCAAAAGCGCAAGGAGAGACCAGAGCACAAACCCACTGACAGGTGTGATTTACAGCCCTGCATATGCTCGTGGTAAACGGACCTGACTGCGTGCTTGGGAGCTATTCGCCAGAAAATTGGTGCAGACTACATCCACCGCACACAAAGCTCCTACACAGCAGAAACTCATGGGGACTGTGGAGCAAAACAGTCATTAGGAAGTATACATGGGGTGTGAATGTTCTTTTAAAGCCAGAAAATTAAAGAAAGCCTAATTTTGATTAAAAACAAAAACAAACCAAAAAACATGGTAGAACGAGCTTTAGGTTCAACCATAGAGGCAAAACGTGTTTTCAAAGCATAGATACAAATATAATAATTAAAAAAGAAGAAGCCAAATATAATCTAAAAAATATCATTATTTCCATTCAAGTAACTTGGGGGACTGCACTGTGAGTGTGTGCATTTATCTGTTTAATAAAGACCTAGCCTACAGTACAAGAGATTGCATCCATGACAAGACTGTCCCTCTGGAAAAAAATACTCTTGTTAGCGGATAACAATGTGCACTGCTTTTTCTGATCAAAGATGGGTGCTTTTGTTCACTGTTTCATCCCCTCTCTCTGAAAGAACAGTGAATAAGCAGCGTACAGTATAACCTCAGCAGGATCATACAAATGAGACTTTCCAGCAGCATTTAAATATATCATTTCAATAAATGTAATAAGACTTAAGTGAATTTTAAATCATTGTGTGCTCAGTTTTCCATTACAACTTTCTAAGTGTTTCAGTGGGACATGCACTATTGGAGAAACATAAATTAGAGCATTAAATTCTCATCAAGTGTAAAGGCACCATACAAATGTGCTTCATTTTCTTGTAAAAAAAAAAAAAAAAAAAATCGAAATCCTTTACATAATGCAGAATGCATCGAAACCAATATTCTGCAAACACCTGTTCTACTGACAACGCTCATGCAAATAGCATCTCCCAGCCTTATATAAGCCTCCAAATATGCCTTTCTTTCATGTCAACAGAGTGACAGGGGAAAGCAGAGCATTGCTGACAATTCAACAGAGGGCAAGACAGATCAATTTAGCCTTCTGCCCTGCTATAACGACCCATCTGTCTTATTTTGATCCTTAAAGAACCTCTATTATGCTTTTTTGGATATTACATTTCATGTAGTGTGTTATACAGCCGTTTGTAAATGTAAAAGGTCTGCGGAGTTGCGATAATATAAAACTCTCCTGATATACGCTGATTTCACGCAGCTACCATTTTGAAATCGAAAGCGAGGCTCCGGTGGGAAGAACCCCTGAAGTACAGATAGACAACAATGCCTTGGACTACCAACCTGAAGCTGCTGCCGCGATTTACACTACTGGATGTTAATATCCAAGATAGGATATAGTTCGTTCCTGCTTCTTTTTTTACGTTCTAAATTATATTTTATAAATTAATTTCACTGTATATAGTCTAAAGTATGAAAGAAATGTATGTAAATTTTAAGAATAAGTAAATTCTACATTAAACACAACAATACGCCATCACATTCACGACTCTCCTATAATAAAAGGCAACACTTCCGGTCTTCTTCCCACTTGAGCCATTTCAAAATGGCGGCTGTGTGAAATCAGCGTATTATAGTAACAATAGAGAAGAATAAAATAAAGCATATTTTGTTAGCTTTTGGAGCTTTGAAAGGTTCAGATCGAGCAGATGTTTGACCATCATTACTGTTCTCGTCAGAGCTCATTTCCCACATTCAGCATGGCTCATATCCACCATCTCAAGCATATTCTCAAAACTATCATTTTCAACATTGATCGCTGACAGCTTCTTCACCAGATCCACCATCAAGTGACAGTGACATTAATATTTGATTGCGTTCGGTACATAGGTAGCAAATCGTGGAGCCATTCCAAGTTTTGCTGATGAGATTTCCTATTCTTCTGTTTCCTGCCTGCAGTAACTATATGAGTGAGATGTCACTTCATTATTGCCACCTTATGGAATAAAGGTGATTTGCACTTATTCAGTCATCAAAGATTAATTTCTTGTTGTACAGAAAAAAAATTTCTTACACTGTTACACACCTCGGGTTATTTTTTATTTTTGATTGAGGAAAACTAAGAAGATTGATGTCTAACTTTAAATGCAGATTAACCCTGACACGCTCAACGCTGTCATTCACTACCCTCCTCCTCATTCATTTTTTAGCTTCCAACAGCACTGTAAGTGGTAGACCAATCACAACAGAATGGACGGTCTAACCAATCAGAGCAGAGCAAGCTCTTGGAGAGGTTTAGAGAAAACAAAAGGGTTTAGAGAAAACAAATCCTTTATCGAACTGCTTCTGACAATAAGAAAAAGAGTTGATCCTGCAAATGTTATGAGAAAATTGGAGTGTTTTTTTTTACCTTGGATGTAAACCTATTGTAGGAGATCTCCAAAACAGGAACTGTTGGAACCTTTAAAATAGCATAATAACATAACCGTTTTGCTTTAAAAAACTTTATATATATATATATATATATATATATATACAGTATATATATATATATACACACACAAATAACATAAATACAAAATAGAATGTATACAGGATTTCCAAAATTTGGATCATAACTCTTATGTGGGTGAAAATTATTATTGAACTAGAAAATTATTTTTTATTACTAAAACTGCTTAAAACAAAACAACAAAAAGGCAGCTAGAAGAGTGAGAGACAGAGTCATGACATTGCATATTTCGGTAAGTTTAAAACATTAAAAGAGATATCAAAATTTTAAATAATTATAATCTAACATATAAAAGTATTTATCTTGACAGTATTTAATATTAATGTTACTTTTGACAAGTTCAGATTTCTAAGACGATCACAATAAAGAGAGAGACGCAACATAATCATCTGATTTAAACTTTAAATCTCACTATATGCACATTTTCATTAAGAAGTTCACACTTTAGTCATATCGGTGTCACAGGCTAATCATTCTATCATTTTTTCCCCTATAATTCCCAAGTCAACATTTGTGCCTTTAAGGTGTCCAACTTTGGCACAACCCTCAGGACAAGGACAGATTTATAGACCAAAACGGGACTAAACCACTTTCAAAATAAGAGCACAAAGAAGAAATAAGAACAATAGACAATGAAATTGTGAGGCTTTCACTGGTACTAGAGGAAGTCTACAAAAGTGGGATGCTAAAAAAAAATTTGGTTTAATTTTGTGTTGGAATCCAAAAAAAAAAAATCCTTTTTGGATGATTCCAGAGTCAAGGGCTCATAGCCACTGACATCTAAACTGTCCAATTCAGCTGAGACCTAGTAACTGGCAACATTGCAATGTGCAGGTATGCATTTAGGTATGCACCAGGAATGCTGAAATCAATGAGTTTATATAGGCAATACTGTTAGATGTTATGGTAAGCTGAAGCTCATGGAAGCAGAAAGGAATCACTTGCTTGGCATGGGGGTTTGAAGTGAATTTAATTGGACAATCTCAGTGCAATGGGAGGACCAGTAATTGCGCACACTGCAGCTTCTGCTGGTAAAATATGGTAAGCAGAGCTGCTGAACGGCTTTGTTTCTGTGTCCATATCTGTGTACATGATATTATAACAGGAATTTGAGACTACAATGGGCTGCCAATTTCTGCTTTTCCAGCTTTTCAATATCTCATATGAAATAGCTTTAGGAAATATTGATGCGTTAAGCAGCTTGTTGCTCATCTCTCAAACAAGCCCTATATTGTAATATGGTGTCATCATGTTCTCACAATGCTGAGTGAAACATTACATTATGAAAGCAAACAGCCAGTGAGATCATGTTTCAAGTGCACCTGCTCACGCACTGACAACAGAAGCTTGTTTCCATGTGCAAAATAGAGAGACTGGAAATTAAAAATAAAGAAATTTAAACAATAATGATAAAAAATAGTAACTCTCAGAAAAAAAGGTACAAAAGCTGTCACTGGGGTGGTACCTTTTCAAAAGGTACACTGTTGTACCTAAAGGGTGCATATTGATACCTTAATTGGTTTAGGTGCTAATATGTACCATTAAGGTACCAATATGTACCCTTTAGGTACAAAAGTGTACCTTTTGAAAAGGTACTGCCCCAGTGACAGCTTTTGTACCTTTTTTTCTGAGAGTGATCAAATAGCAACGTCAGCAGATATAGTTCAGGGAGGGAACAACATGCCATATGTCCATAATTGTGTTAATGATATTTAAGACAACCGACAAATGGCAGATTTAAAAAAATACTACACTATCGACACAAATTTTTGGTTCAAAGAATGAAAAATAAAACTAAAAAAACATTTTAAATGTTACAAACAAATTTAGGCACCATAACATTATACTGCACAGTATGAAAATGTATTCATTTTCAAATTTCCTAAATAATTTAACTGTGATACTAGATTATTAGTATAAAAAATAGTTTTTAATTATTAGATGATGCCCAAAAAAGCTAATCTAAATATAAAAATAGAGGCAAAAACATGCACAATAAATATACAATATCAACTGATATATTGTCTATCCAAAGTGTGTAAACAATGAAAAAAAAATAGAGTAAAATTTTTAAATCATGATATGTAAGGCAATTTTTATCGACCCCTTCTCTCACATTTAAAGCAGCACTTCCTTTAATGTTGCCACCTGCAGTCATGATTATGGCATGAAAAGAAGATGGCGAATAATATTAATAATTGCAGAAGAACAGTTAGTTAAAAAACCTGAAATATTCTTGAATGTGGCTTTAATTATTACTGTCAATATAATTAAATTAATACAAAAATATTATAGTATTGGTTTGTAGTTGAAAATGAACTTATTTTGGGCTAAAAAAAAAAGAAAAACTAAGAGAGGGGACTTTACCTCCATTGTGCAGGTTTTCTACAGTCACTCTGCCATGGCTGTTTATAATTAATGGCTCAGGCTTGTGAGGGAACGCTAAGAGCTACTGCTCACTCCCAGGCTGCAGCAGGAGAGGTTGAGAGGGGGAGGGGAGCTTTCTTCTGTGTTTATGGGAGAAAGTGAGGAGAAAAGGGGGTCATCAAATCAGCCCACAAGATTTAGCAAATACTTTCCAGTTTATGAGAAATATATTACAAGCCAAAGCTCCTGGGGAATCAGCATTATCCATTTGCCGTGTCACTGGACCACACCCCTCCTCTGCTCGGAAAAGCCGCACACAGGCCATTAGAATCCACTGGCGTTTCTAAGCATTCTCTTAACCGCAGTCAGGCAAAAAGCACCTTAAAACACAAAGAGCCGGAAGCTGCATTCCTGCATCACGACGACGGCATACTGCACTGTCATCCTGCTAAATGAAAGCAGGTGAGAACGGCCGTGAGATGGCAGATGGCATTTTACTACACAATATTTTCAAAAAGACTCCCACTGATTAAATGTGCCGACACAGCTTTTCGCAGTGATTAGTCTTGGGAATCAATAACATTGTGCTGCTCCAGTCACATATTATACCCCTGCTAGGATGTCCGAGCCAGACTGCAGTAAGCTATTTGAACTGAGAGACGATGGGTTGGTTAGCAGAGAGGGAAGGGTACGGCTCCGGATCTAAAGTGCCATAGGAGTTGATCTACATCTGCAAAACAGATATTTAAATATATATTTCACAAGACAAAATAACTGAAGCTCCACAAATTATGCTGTTCAGATGACGCTGTTTGCAGGTGAAGTATAATGTTAGTTGCATAAGTCCCCCAGTTGTGCTAAATCTGGACATCAACATCGAGTCTTATGGTTGAAAACTTGCTCAAATTGACAAACCTGATGGTCTAGGAGGAAACACAATGATTTGTTTACGTGTGTGCACGTATACACTACCGTTCAAAGGTTTGGGGATAGGATTTATTTTTTAAAGAATATTTATAATGTTACAATAGATTTCTATTTCAAATAATTACTGTTCTTTTGAACTTGAATAAAAAATGCATCACAGTTTCCACAAAAAAAAAAAAAATTGTTTTCAATATTGATAATAAGAAAATGCTTAGAAAAGTACCAAATGAGCAAAAATGCTGCTTTACCATCACAGAAATAAATTACATTTTAAAATATTTAAAATAGAAAACATTTATTTTAATTGCACTTTGATTATAATTGTAATACTGCTACTGTTTTTACTGCATTTTTGACCCAATAAATGCAGTCTTGGTGAGCATAAGAGCCTTCTTTCATTAAAAAAAAAAATTGTATTGACCCAACCCTAAACTTTTGAATGGTACTGCACATATAGTTATTTTACAATCTTTGATAAAGACAAACACTCAAGATTCTGTAAATGGCATGAGGAGAATTCAATACTGTGGCTCCAAAAGCAACAGGTAAACTGCAGCTTGACATTGTGGAAGCAGAGCCTCCCTGTGGGTGAGGGACGATTGTGTGTGAAGGGGGAAGCTCTTCAGTTTCTCCAACAAAACCAGTTTGATAGAGCTGTAATCCTATCTGCTATTGTCCTACCGTCTGCTCTAAGTGAACGCTGAAGACATGATTAAGAGGATAATGGTTCCACAGACGGCCTTTCAGTCTTTGGCTGTACATTCACTATAGGGATGAATGTGAATGTGGCTTCCTACTGTTTGTAAACTGTCTGCAACATTATACAACATTACGGATTTCTGAGCCATAATGTGTTTTGCTTTTTTTTTTCCATGCTACTCATTTTCAACATTTGAATTTTGACAAAGACAAAGATCATCTTAAAAGGATAGTTCATAATTTACTCACCCTCTTGTCGTTCCAAACCTGCATGCAAATTTTTTTTTCTGGAACACAAAGGAAGATATTTTAATGAACGTTTGGTTTGGAACTAAACACCATTTGAGCCTACTAGCTTTGTTTGGCCATTTCTTTTGTTTCACAGAAGAATAAAAGTCACAGGTTTGGAAGAACAGTATTTTCTATTTTTGAGTGAACGTCATCTTTGTCATACATCATATTAATATAGAGTAACGAGTGTTTCCACAAACTAGTTTGTAATAGTACATCATTATGGGAGCTGTCAAGTCCGAGGGTACTGAATTAAGGCTGAAACCAAAAAGTAGTTTGAAAATACATTAGTGTGTGAAAAATTTTACAGGGTCACACCCGAAAAATATATAAAAATAAAAACTGATTTTAACAAAAACTATAACAGTATCTCAATAATACTTAATAACACTGTAATTAATATAATTTGTGACCCTTTGTCTCTGGTAAACTAAAGGAAAAAAAGAGAAATATGAAGTTGCACAAATGAACTTGCGTAGATTTTGGGAATCAATCCGTACATATTAAGTTCAACTTGCTCGCTATTTAAAGTGTGTCGGGAAGCTCCAGGAAGTCCATTCAGGACCGCGGACAGCAACGTCAGAGTTTCTTTTATGATAACGTGAGATTGCGTCATATCGCAAGATGAAAAAAAGACACCTACGTGATGGAGAATAGAATTGGTATTTGAGGGTGGAGAGATTGGTTGGCCACTGTGTCAGAGGCTTTTCCTGCACAATCTATTGCTCAGTATTGATTCCTTTAATGCAGTCTACTGGAGAGGCTTTCTCTAGGGAACACTGACCATCTAATGGGTGGCTGTGGCATAGGGCTGCACTAATAAGGAAACACGTTTTATCTTATCCTGTATTTAAATCACTTGAACAATTCAGTCACCTCTGACCTTTTGCTTCCTTGCTAGATTTCAGCCAATGATTTAACTGGAAAAAAGTATTGAAACAGATTATATAGTGCAGAGTTTTTTGTGACTTTCTCTCTTTTTTGTCTCGCTCCAGTCCAGAAACAGTCTACAGCAGGGGGATATGGATGGGGCGAGACGCCTGGGACGCTTGGCTCGTCTGCTTAGCTGTGTGGCTATCATAGTGGGCCTCCTAAGCATCATAATCTATGTGGTGGTTGCAGGTACGTCTTTTTGCAAGCTTTGATTTGATATCTAGATAGATGTGACACGCTCTATTATTTTGAGTCGGAAATCACAATGAATCATCTCCATTTGTGGAGAAATATGATCAGCCAAAAATTTTAATTTGGACTGTTTTGTGTTGTTTTTGATCAAATAAAAGTCTTGGCTTTCAGATCATGCTAACTTTATCAAGAAAATAAAATACAGTTCGTTTTGATGCTGCATTCTGATATGCTGATTTGGTGCTCAAGAACCATTTCGTATTGTTATCAATTTTGAAAACAATTGTACTGCTTAATATTTTAGTGGAAGCTGTGATACTTTTTTTCAGGATTCTTTTGGCGCTTTTCCACTGCATGGTACAGTACGGCTCGGTTCGGCTCACTTATGGCGCATTTCCACTGCCGTACCGGTACTAAAATGTGATGTGAAAAACTGCAGAACACTGATTGGTCAGACAGAATCGTCACTACCTGCGTCATTGTATTTGCGACCAAAAGACAACAAGGGAAACCAAACACGCTAGATTTAAATAGCCAGTAACAGCCACTGCTGTTACGGATCAGTCTATTATCCCACCCCACTTTAAAGGAGTAGTTCACTTTTTAAAAAAAATGAACGAATCTTTTTCCGAGTCAATTCATTCATTTTGTTTGTTGAATCAGCCAAATGACTCGAGTCCATTTTATGGAGAAAAATCCAGGAATGTTTTCATCAAAAACCTTAATTTCTTTTCGACTGAAGAAAGAATGACATGGACATCTTGGATGACATGGGGGTGAGTAAATTATCAGCAAAAGTTTTTTAAAAGTGAACTACTCCTTTAAAGTGGTACTAACTGCATTGGAAAAGCAACCGAGCTAAAGCGAACCGAGCGGTGCTGAGCCGAACCACGCAGTGGAAAAGCGAAGCGAGCCAAACCATTTCGCACCAAGCCAAACCGTGCCCCACCGAGCCGAACCGTACTGAGCCGTACCCGCAGTGGAAAAGCGCCATTTGATTAATAGAAAGAACAGCTACTTGAAATAGAACTATTTTGTAACAATGTTTTCACTGTCATTTTTGATCAATTGAATGTGTCCTTGTTGAATAAAACTTATTAATAAAATCTTTACTTAACATGATTATTTGATATGTTTGAGTAAGTTACATAATTCTGTCAGAAATATCTGAAAATAGTTTTAGGGAGATTTTCTTAAAATGACAGCCACCATTTGCATGATTATACTGTATATCTACAACGGTTTGGAGTACACATAATTATATAACAGAAATTCATTCAGACTCGAAATTAGTTTCTAGGCCGAAATGACACAAAAATGATGGAGCAGGTCACATACTGATAGGTTGATTATTATTTCCACACTCATTGTTGCTGTTATGATTCATATGCTCTTTTTTTCTGCTCTATCCTCAGTAACTGGAAAGGGGATTAAGTAAGACGTGAAACCCATCTACAGCACTACTGAAAAACTTACACAACATAATTAAAATAAGATCTCCCTCTTAACAATAATGCCACAGAAGTTGAAAAATAAATTAGGACTGTAGCATCTAAATAAGATCTGATTAAATATCAAAAATGCATGCAGTAGCTTAGCATGCTCAGTGAAAAAAACAAAATCCCATTATGTTAAAAAGAATGGTGATGGCTTGCTTTATGTAAATGAGAAACACTGATGTTTCGGCAAGAAATCGACTGAGAAAGTCAAAGGACGAGGGGACATTTTTCAAAGATGGTCTTTAAAAACATGGCTACGACTGGCAAGCTGCATTTTAACCTTATATTACTCCTGGTTGATCTTGCATTCATAAATTATGCACAGAAATATTTGCAATATAACTACTGATGTATGTTTTATAAAAAGATTTATATGTGGAGTTTAAGCTATGGGAACCAACTGGGAATGACAAGACTGTTAGAAGCCTTGTCAGACTTAACAGTAATGGTCATTGGGGTTGGAGTTTTCATTTTTGTTTATTTATTTTGTAGGTTTTGATTATAAAAATGACCACCTGCATGCCTGATCTTGTAAGTGAATAACTGACAGTCAGCATTTTTTATTAGTATCTTTTTTATTTACTTATCTGTGAGAGTAGTGGGTATCTACAGATGGGAATGTACATCATTGTCCAGTGCTATATTCTCTCAATGGCTCCGTCCAAGCCATGGGGCTCCACTACACATCCTGTACTAGTATAGTTTCCTTCAGAGAGGTAAGACTGTTACGTTACGCATGCCAGGCCTCTCCTGACAAAAACTGCTGGAGCATGGACATTCACCTAGAGGCATGCAACGGCCAGCACCATTCTGTGCCAAGACCTTTATATCAGTATCCTAAACAAATCACAGGACTACTCATCTTTTCCAGGGTTCTCTCCAGGACAGAATGCCAGTCTCCCCGTTATAAATTTCCCTACTTAACCCTTATAAATATGAGATATATATCAGCATATTTATAGAAATATTTAGGCATGCTGTGGGTGGACAAAACACTTTTTTTTATCTTCACCAAGAATGAGCTTGTTTAAGGAACTTTTCTTTGACACGTCTCACAGTGTTGATTGCATCTCTGTGACTGCTTATTAAGACAAAATTACACAAATTAAATATGAGATTGTAAAAATAGAGGTACAGATACATAACAGCACTTAACTGGTTAGGTAGACTGAGGTTAGGATGGACACATTCCACAGCACATCTGTTTCATTCATACTGAATTAAGTATTTTACTGCCCTTTCCTAGATTTCTAAGCACTTTATCCCTTATTTTTCATCATTATTCTCATGTCCTGACAATACTTTTGTATGACCTTCACGTGTAATCTCCTGAATCTAGACTGTTAGCAACTCAACACCTACGACTTCATTTATAACCATTGTACTGTATAATTTACTGTTTTGTGAATTCATGTGATCTAATGCTCCTTTTTTCCTAAAACTCTTTTCTTCACTTTAAACAATTATGTTAACTGTGTAGTTCATAATAACCATTAGGCCAATATGAATGAGATGCAAAAATGCTGCTATGTGTCTTTTAAAACTGTGATTTGTGTACAAAATATGTTTTTCTATGTACCTTTGCAAGTGTGAAATAAACATTAACATGCATGGTCCACAACTTGCTTGTAGCAATTGATCCTGTACAGCAGTGTTGGAGAAACATAAGCAAGGACATTACTGCATTAGCAAAAAAAGTTAAAATGTTAACCACACCACACAAAGAAACAAAGGAAGACGACAACAACTTTCAAAGCCTTCCTGCCCCTTGCACATATACACAAGCCTCATTTTTCATGCTCCCATCGCTACTGTAAATAATGCATGGCTAAGGAAATGGCACAAGATCTACTGGCTGATTTTGCACTTCCCTGGTTCTCTGATCTCTAAGTATGGCCCTCTGCCCAGCCTCACTCCAGCACTCAGCACTAACAGTGCTCTCTCACTCACAGTGACACAAAGTGTTTAAGTACACACAAATCTAGCCACCAGCTTAAATGGACTGAAGTGCCGTCATTAGTCATCTAGGATCACAATCGGAAATGGTTTTATTTTCTTAGAAGAAAGAAAGATACAGCCATAGAGCATTTTGTCAGCTGAACACCAAGGGCCTAAATTATATATTTGATGTGAGATGTCAAAGAATGTAATGAATTTTAAAACATCCATGGATGTCGATTTTTTCCGTTTTAAATTTTAATGTAATTCGGTACTGGCTTTTCAGAATATCATCACCAATGTGGTCTATATATATTCCTGTTCGGGAAACCCTGACATGGATATTTCTGATTTAAAACAGAGATTCTCAATGAAAAAAGTAGACTTCAACAAAGCTCACTGGCGGCTAACGAGATGAAACGGGTATTAAAATAAGCAACTTTATTTTAATTCACTTTAATTCAGTTCTCGTTCCTTTAAAGAACCAGGGTTCACATAGAAAAAAAGAGGTAGCCTAATTTTAAAAGTGATTTCTAGACCTGGAAGAGTCATGTAAATTAACATTTCCAGGGGCATTTTTATAACTAATATATTTTTTATGACTATGCATGCCACACTGTAAAATAGTTCATCAGGAAGAAATTGTGTACAAAATATCTTTTAATCCTTTTCCAGTACATCACAAAAACATGGAGAAGTCCACTGAATATTGTTAACGATTTAATGGCAATGCAACAGCCTCAACTATCTAGTTTGGCTTTGCATACACAGGTTAAATTTCCATATTCCTCTCCACTGGTTTTAAACGTGGTTAATAAGATTTACACAAGAAGGGCATGTTTCTAGATCAACATCCTTTGTTGGTTCAGTAATGTACCTATAAATCAATGTCCTCTTAGTTTAGGAGTAGGGTTAGGGCATAGGACACCATTCATGAGATGGTTTAACTCTTAGGGCTACACTTGGTTTAAAATGTGTCGATCCAGGATTACATCCAACTTTTGATAAATTGTGTTGCACTTTCAAGCGAATGAATGAGTCTCAAGATCAAACTCTTTGCAAAATCCAAAACGTGAAGAGTAGCATTCGAGTATTTACTGAACTTGCAGTATAATGTAGGCCAGGGGTGTCCCATCCTGCATGAGGAGGTTCACTACTCTGCAGAATTCAGCTCCAAACCTAAACCTAAAGGCTGCATTTACACTGCAGATCTTGATGCCCAAATCCGATTTTCTGACTATATCCGATTTTTTCGACGACCCACTTACATCATCTTTTAAAAGTGACCCGTATCAGATTTTTGCATTACATGTACACTACACTGCTGAAACTACCAAATTTAGACATTCTGACCAGAAAAGGAAGTAAAACAGCACGAAATGCAATGGATGCAGATGCAAATAAAATTATCCAGTGTTTTGTTTTCCACAATATTTTGTGAAATCTGAAAAAAGATGAGAGCACATATGCCCATCTCGTGAAATGTTTTCAAACTCGGATTTCTTTCTATAACAACCCTGCATGTATGCCCACACCGTCTCTTCGCCCCAAACAAACCTTCGCAATGCTCAACTGTGCATCTCCGTCCTCCATCGCACCTATAAGTCATGTGATCTCAGTAGGTGGTGTCTTTGAGTTGACATCACTTTTATAATGACGTACGACTCGCATCTACTGGGAAATTTCCGATTTGTCTGTTTACATGGCACACGCAAATGCACATATCCGATTCATATCCGATTTGTTACCACATATGAGTGAGGCCTGAATCCGATCTGAGAAAATCGGAATCCATACTCTTTTTTCCTGCTTACACGTTCGGATATACTATAGAGAGCTGATTGAGACACACCCAAGATACTTCCAGGCAAGTGTGTTTGGGCAGGTTGGACTAAACTCTGCAAGACATTGGCCCTCCAAGAGCAGGATTAGACACCCCTGATGTAAGCTGATTTTCACTACAGTCACTCAGGAGTAACTTTAGGTTACGTGTCTCGCTCAAGGGCACGATGGTGACAGAGCAAGATTGAGATCTCTGCAAGTCTCCAGTTTCAGACTCACACTGACTACTCAGCATCTGTAACTTCTTGGAAAGCAGCCCAGGAAACCAAGTATTATATGACCCCCCTCTTCCTATTCACACTCAACTCATGAATTACTACACGGCTGCAGATATTGATTAAAAAAAATCAAGCAGAGAGGGCTTCATTTTATAGCTTAAGTTCAGAGAACAGTCTACTTTAATCTTAAAAGAGCCAAGACTAAAATATTCAAGTGCTGCCATACCTCAAAAATCATGAATAGTTGAGTGGGTAGCGTGTGTCATGTCTCCGTCTCACCTCAGATCAGAAGTCCCATGATTATAAGATCACTAGGAAAGAACAAAATAAGGCAACATGTATAGCAAAATAAAACAATGTGGAGATGACAAAGATTTATTCATTTATTCTCTGGACTGGTGTAAAGAGAACATGTTTTAGTCAGCAGAGGAGGTTTGGAGGGTGATGACAGCTTCCTGTGGAGTCCTGTGGGTGGCCAACCTTCCAAACGACTGCTGCAGTACCTCTACTACAGACACATTTAGGCAGAGAACACAACAACGTACCTCATTTGTGACTTTAAAATATCTTCCTCTAAAATACAAAGAAACTATCAGAAAATATGGTGAGAATCCCATACTGTGATGTTTTGTGATCATCCTTTGATCTACGAGGCCCATTTCATCTGTAAAAGACCCTCAGTCCCTCAACATTTGTACTGCATTTCAGGATACTTGGTCAATGTATGGACTGGAACAGTAAGAGACCTTTTGATAATGGACCCACAGAGAATATAGGAAAAAGGAGGAAAGATTTCTTAGTTTCAAAGAGCTCATATTAGTTTATTGTTTTGGGCAGCCAATGTCTCCTTTGAGTGATTGTATTGAGTTTGTATAAGCACTCTCTCTATGCGCCTATGGAAAAACCTCAGGCAAACGGATTCAATCGGTCTAACAAGAACTATAGCCAGTCTGACTGCTCCAAATGTGGCAGACACATCAACAAATGATCAGCACAGAAGAGATGCTTAGCAGAAAAAGCTCACTTATAGATGGGACATCATTTGCCAACATCAGAGGGAAAGAGAAACAGGTGTGTAATAAGGCTCACAATACTTTTTTTCTACAACCAAGCTGCATAGTGTGCTGGTCTTACCTCTACATGCAATCACAGTGCTATTTTTTTTTCCAGGGATCGATGCTTTATAGCTTGTATATTCATCACATTAAAGTTCTGGTCTGATTCTGTCTCTCACGCTCCAGTTCCATTGCAGGCTTGTTGGTTTATCCAGGTATTCCTAACTGGAACCTGATCTAAACTTTGAAACACACCAGTAAAGTCATAAAGAATTAGCACCTTGAAAGAGAATGGTTAGACATCACATGAGCTGCAATGGAACCATTTTATTGTTGGGCTCTTATTTTCCAACACTCCGTGCAGAGCAATACGTCATTGGTTAGAGAGTTTAGAAATATCTAAAAAATAGAAGCTTTAGAGTACGGACCTCTAATGTTTCACACACATTTTTAATATTCTGTATATGAATAATTTATTAATTCACAAAGTACACAGCATGATGAGAAACCCTCTTACTAAAAGGATCATCAAATTAAAACCCTCTTCCGATTAATAATATACAGGAACACCACAACTCCATGTTGATGCTTCACAGAATTGCTCTTTTCTCAAAGCCAATGTGCTATTATATGCTCTTTGAAATCAATTCCTGTTAGTAATTTGGCCTCCAGACCCAGTTCACATCTGAACAGCGCATTGTTTGTAGTACAGAAACAAAAAAAAGGCTCTTAGAGCTAAAACCCTTCTGATGCTAATTACAAATAATGTCCATGTTGGCCACAATCAATCTTGTTTCCAGACTAGGCCATGCGGGCTTCAGCTTTGTGGGCCCCAATAGTCCACCTCTCATTGAGCCTTTCCTCAAGGCTTTGCCACCTCTTTGCAGAACACCCCCCTAAAAGTAGTCGGTTAGCTCCCCTATTTGTCAGTGAAATGCATAAAGCAGCAGAAGGATGGTGCAGATGCCAATGACTCCACCCAGAATTAATGAGTCCCGCCTCTTCCTCAAGTTGATCCGCTGTATTAGGTTATTGATTGCAGGGAAACGATCTAAAGTAGGGGTAGGTTAAGAAAATGCAGGGATACAGTAGATTGCCTTTCTTAAAAAAAACTGACAGCAAGTATTTTTAAGTTGCAATTTTTCAAATTTTTGTAAGATAACATATGGGCTTGTCCTATATAAATGTGTCCTGTATAGGCAGAGGTGAGCTCTTCAAATTAAATTTTGTAGAAATCTACACATTTATATGAAACCAACAGTAAAGGTCCCTCATACTAAGGATGAATAGATAATGCAATTCTGATTAGCGATACCATTAAGACGATAATTAAAAAATAAAAGGTCAATATTAAAATTATGTCCTATTTTGTCTGAAATAAAACACTAACCAAAATCAAACTACTAAAATCAACACACAAAAAGCTGGCTTGTGAAAAAAAAAAAAATGTTTTCATAAACACTTCATGACAAATTTATTAAAACATATGTAATTTAGTAAATAAGCTAATCTCTAGTGTTTTTTATGGCAAACTAACCAGGAACATTGTATAAACTTTCCTGAGATAAATGCAACATTAATGACATTGCATTATTGACGTCTTTCTGCGATTGAAACACTGATTAAGAGATTAAAAAAAATGTGATACATTTTGGTAAGTTGTACTATATTTTTTAATGCATCTTTTAATGTCCATGGATGTTTTTTTCATGCTATAATTATTAAAGTGTAAGAAAAGACTTGCACTCCACACCGCTCCGAAGCACTACAGCCATCCGTCACGTCATATTTAAAAGAGTGAAAACGCAAATCATTGTTTGAATTTCATGATAAAATGGACAAAATTTAAAAGCTGAGACTTTTTTCTTATCACATGCTCTAAATTCAACACAAAATACATCATCTTCACACACTACGAGTTGCAGTCTGACACATTTTTCCACCCCCTTTTGATTGACTGGATATAATGGGCCCTGATCATTGACTGGTTTTAAATATTTAGCCGATCATGAAAATAACAGTGGCTGATAGTGCTTTTATCAGCAGATAACGATTATCTGATACATTGTTGTGCATCTCTAATACATGCACGCACACATCCATATATATATATATATATATATTTGTTTTTGTTTTTTTTGGCGGATAAATCATGCAACCCAAATGCATACATGCACACAAGCACTGTTTTTTGAAATCAAGGATACTGGCCAGGGTGTTGACACGGCTCTGTATAGACTTCAACCACCCTCTCTGGGAGGTCATGTTCTCCTTGGTTGCCATGGCAATGCTGTGGACAAAAATAAAAATTAAAAAGAGTGAGTTTTATTAGCTCATCACAGCACATACGTAATGTAAGTGGTCAAAAATGGCTCTGATCAAATTAATAACTAATGATTTTTACAATGGAAATGAGTCAACAATGAACTTGTCGCTGGACGACTATTTTCTTCAAGAGCTGCTGTACAGCCAAAACAAACTTTGTTGCATTATTTTCCTGTTATCACTGTAAAGCTGCTTTGAAATCATCTATATTGTAAAAAGCGCTACATAAATAAAGGTGACTTCACTTGATCAGTGAGTCAAGGGCGGCCGCAGCTGTTAGGACTGCAGACACAGGAGAAAGTCCCTAAAAGACAGCAAACATCTCTTTCATTAGGTTTAATTTCAGACAGGATGGCAGGAGCTGCATTAATCTAAAGCTCCAGAGACATTAGCCACACAGAGCTAGAAACCAAAAGTATGCAGAAAAGTGACCAACCATTACGTACATATCCATTTCCCTTGACACTGCAAAAAGTGAACACCTCATATTCTGGAAAGATCAGAGGTTTTCCTGCAACAGCCATCATTTGTCCTAGCTTAAAGGCATAGTTCATCTAAAAATTCTGCCATCATTTATTCACATTTGTGTTATTCCAAAAGATTACTTTTTTTAAATGAATGTCATGTCTTTTTCCAGTTAAAGTAGAGGGAAAAAGTGTGGAATCATCTTAATTTCCATTTCTAATACAAATATAGAGACAAGTATAACACTTTCCCCAGTCAGCTGTGTCTAAAATTTGGGCACAGCTGCCTATTTACTGAAATATTGGGCTTGAAGTCAAGAAGTTTGAGAACCACTCATCTAATTCTCATTCAACTATTCACTGTTGCATGCTATAATAAGACTCTTGGGCAGTTCCAGTGCCACTACTTTGTTTCCTTCAGATGAGTCTTACTTTCTTGTTCCTAGTGGGGAAGATTACATTGCTATATGTGACAATACAGATAACTCCGCCTCCAGCTCAGCAGATTTGTGAGTGCAAACTAAAGTCTGCCATCCATTAAACTCCTGTCTGCTCTACTCTGCAGAACAAAAACCATAAGATATAGTCCACCACAAGCGCTCAAGCAGACCCTACACCTTGATCATAATGAACAAGAGATCTCATCTATCATACCGACATAAAACAGGTGTCATCTAGAATGTATTTGTATTTGTCATTGGGTACATTTAACAAGACCCCGAAGGCCACAAGGTCTCTGGTGTTTTGTATTCCCACGTGCCCTCAGTCACGAACAAGCAGTTATTTTGTTATTGACAGAGTTTTGCAGTGACATCTAGACAGGCCCTTTACCATCTTTCAGTTCTGTTCTCAACCTACATTCCTGAGTATCTGCACACCATGAGATGATGAACACATGAGCTTAACCCATCTCCTAATCTTCATATCTGTATGTGCGTGTGTGTATTCTAAATTGTGCATTTGTTTAAATGGGTTACATGCAAGGGTGTATCTCATACAATCATATATTGGGATAGTTTAATTCTGTCTTGTTTTAAATCATTAAAAGAGAAACACGAGTGCCCACACACTTCAGAGATCAGAGCAATGATGAAATATTAAACAATGAGCTCTCATCTTGGTGGCTTCAGGCTGTGGGTGCTACATAGGGAAGATAATGATTACAAGCAGCTGATATAGCATAATTTTTTGCTTGAACAAGACAGGGGTCTGGATAAAAAGAGCTGCATGGGCCAAGAGCCGACTTAATTAAGCACTACTGACGGCTGCCAGCTGTGGGGTTTCCAAAAATGCGCAGTCAAAGTGTAGGCTACTCTCATGTCCAGCACAGATCTGCAGTGAGGGAAAAACGGTAGTGCCCAACAGCACAGTGTTCACAACTAACGCACCTCAAGAACAAAGCACAGTTGGGAGAATTTCCCTTCAGTTAGTTTCCCTTAAAAGGATAGTAAACCTAAAAATGATTCTGTCATCAATTACCCACTCTCATATTGTTCCAAACCTATATGACTGGCTTTCTTCTGCAGGACACACAAAAAAAAAAAAATATATATATATATATATATATATATACAAAAATATATATTTATTTATATAAATAAATATATATATTTTTTGTGTCCTGCAGAAGAAAGCCAGTCATATAGGTTTGGAACAATATGAGAGTGGGTAATTGATGACAGAATCGTCACAACAAAATATATATATTTTTTTGTTTTTTGGAAGTCAATGGGGTCCAGTGTTGTTTTAGCCCAGAGTTGTTTTTATTTAACCCGCTGGGGTCGCCATCACGCCGATCACAGACTCAAATAACTCTGTCTATTTTTGTGATGCAGGCAAGTGTTATACATCATTTAAAACTGTTAAATGTCTACTTTTATTCGAGTACAGTAATAATAAAAACAAAATGTTGTGTTTTTTGTAAAATAATGAAAACAAACATGATGCGCGTTCTCCCTTCTCTCAATTTGAAGTTCATTCTGAAACGCGACATAAAATGATCTTTAACTCAGCAAATACTTGCCAAACACACGTGAGAGTTAAGTCTTGAAAACTATTAAAATGGTTTTGATAACTGAAATAAAGCTGAAACAAAATAAAATAGAAATAGTACATGAAAATCTAAACCTAAATGAAAAAAATGAGAAATGTTGCCTGAGAGACTAGCTAAAATAAAAGAGTCTGTTCTGATCCCCTTTCAGTTCTGACATAGTGGTATCAACTGCTAAAGCAAATGGGTCAGTAGTTTGTATCTCTTCATCGAATGAGATCTTCCTCGAGTTAATGACCCTTGGCAGGCTATTCTTTCAGAAGAGACCACATATTTTAGTAAAACAAATAAAAATGGAAACTGAAGTGTCTGAATTGTTTTTTATAAAGTTAGACTTACCTTATCGTGTCATCAATAAGTCGATCTGAGCTGCAAGGAGACAAAAAGAAAGAGGGAAAAAAAGACATTTAGACAATGATGATTAGGTGAATTACTGGAGCCCTCGTTCATCTTCGAGAGTCAGGGTGAAAGAATCAATCAATGGCAAACATGCAGTGAATGCTGATCAGTACTTCACATGAACACCAGAAGAATTTTCTTTTGCAAATATGACCATAAAGGATTTAACAAGCATTACAATGAAAACAACTACAATCAGTATTGTCAATTGTCTACATACAAACGCTACAAGGCTAAAAATATGAGGACCTTAAAGGCCACATCCATATGTCTTTGAACATTTATTTTCGAAACCATGGCCATGTATAGAATTTTACGAATTTGTTATTATGGGCATAGTTAAAATAACTAAACCAGTTAATAAATCACCACATACTTTTTTTCATGTAATACATACAGCACATACCACACATGCTACAATTCTGCATTAGAAATTCACACCATAGCACCAAAATAAGCAAATAAAATCCCATTCAAGATAGTGATTCCAAATGGTGAAACAGATTTATACATTGTCAATGCAGTTACTGCTCGTGCTCGGAAAAGACAAGTATGTCGTGTGTGTGAATGAAATTATCTTTCAGGAACGATTCTTCAATCTTGCATTACTAGTAGTATCTATACTGGAATGTCTCATACCCCCACCACAGCCATTTTTCTCCCAGAAAAGGAGCTACAGGCCTGCAGGGCGGGAATGAAATTCTATGCTTGCTCAAAATCACATCCTCCGTCAATTTAGATGACAAAGTCTGAGGGCCAGTGAGACCTCAGGGGAAAGAAAGTCCTCTATTCCCAGACAAATGGTTTTCGGTGTGACAGAGAGCTCCAATTTTGATTACACGAGCAAAAATGAGATTGCAAATTCTTGCTTTGAAGCCTGTGAACTTTCTCTCTCTCTCTCTCTCTCTCTCTCTCTCTCTCTCTCTCTCTCTCCCTCTCTCTCTCTCTCTGTATGGTTTGAGAAGTCTGGCATAAACAAACAGCAGCTAGGAGCATAGGGTCTAATGGCCCATATGCTGTTTAGTCCCACTACTGGAAAACAGAGCTCTGTCTTCACAGACACGTGAACATGTATCTTGGAATCTTGTCAAATGCTTTGAAGAAAGGAAAGGCGCAGCAAAACTGATGTGAGAAGCTCCATTCTGGCAAACGGCTGTCGACTTAAGAGCTTATGAATTTGCCTTTGAACAAAATGCCAAACCTGCATCGGCAAAGATAAAGTATGTGAGTTCCCGGCAAGACTAATCAGTATGAATTGTCCCAGTGGGTGCTAATGATGCTGATTTTGCAGAGTTTAGATTGCAATTAGCAGGGCAAATCTTAAGCATCCTGTGGGATTTGACCAACCAGGTTCCTTTATTCATGATTTGCATTTCATCCTGATAAATAATTAATAAGGCCTCCTTAAGACTCATTAATCTTCTTTAAGACATATATCCACTTGGTTGCCTAAAAAAGAAAATTATATTTACAAGAAATAAATCAGTTGAAACTGAAGTTTAAAGTTAGTGAAAGGACAATGCAGAGTCTGAAATTCTCAACAAAAATTTCTAGCAAATGTTGTCTTCTCTCCCCATTCAGCCTCATCTATTCTGAACTCAACAGCAGGGCTATTAGTTCAATTACATTAGCTAGTATCACACATGGCTGCCAGTCTGAAAATTACAATGAAACAATTTAGTTCTGTAAAGCTTTCAGCAAAGCACATCTAGACCTGGTTTGCTGGCACACGCATCTGGACTTTGGGAAGTATTTTATTATGCACATGAAATTCCAATTGTCTAAAAGCTGAAAGTTTAGAAGATGTATGCTATGCTACACTACTACCATTCAAAAGTTAAACAAAACAATAAAATCACCCTGTGACAAGGCAGCATGGGGAAACCCAGGCTAGGTCAACCTAGTTCTTCTAATTCGATTGTTTAGTTTCCATCGCTTCCAAGGTATTGCACGTATTATGCATAATTTTACTCATTCCCGCAGATTTTGTGCTCACAGCCTCACCCCCAAAAATCACACACATAAAGCCATCTTGAACTTGTTTTCGATAAAAGTAAAGTGACAGCAGCCTAATATACATGCTGCCAAATTATGAGATATTAAAAATATCTATATGGCAGTTTTTCCTCTTTAAAGTGTGTATTGGATTTGTGCATTAGGCCTAGTGACATCAGTGACATCAGCCCAATAAACCTGCTGCCGCCTGTGTCAATGTTAATCAAACAACAAAATAAAAATAAAATCACTCACTGATCGTGATAGAATAACTTTTGTAACTTTAATAAGGATTAATGTATATTTTATTTAAAGCAGCACTAATCAGTTTTTTTTACCTTAACTGAATAGCTTCGGAGTTATTGCAATGGTTATATGACTATTTTCGGGTTGAATGTTGGGCGTCTTTATTAACACTTTATTTTTACATATTTTTTAAGTCTGCATGACTTTAAGTCTATTTTTCGGAGTACTTTAAGTCTATTTTTCTGCTATGTGAAAAGAAAAAAACAGCAAAACACGGTGGCGCATGAGCTGACCTCTAGGGGTTAATAATGTTTGAAATTTATATTAGTTAGGCTATTTTTGTTAAAACCGGCGAAATTGGGTTGTGTAAGTGTTCTAAAAGGGCTGCTGATTCTGTGTTTTGCAAAAAACAGAATAAATATTTTTGAAATCGAAACTGGGAATCGATAAGCAAATTGTCCTGGAACAATGCAGACATTTAACCTAAAATTAAAAGCAACTGTAAATTAATCTTTTAATCTATTCAACATTAATATATGCAAACACATGCAGCACACCACTTGTGAACTGACACAAGGTCTTTCAGGGCAAGCCATTTTTCTGAGCTGCTTAATGGGTTCAGGCATCATATTGATGTATTTAAATTAGTAAATTAGGAAATGTGCATAAATAACACAGCCTAAGCTTTAACACCAACTACAGTTAGGACCTACAATTCATGATAAAAAAATGAACCAATAAGGAAATAATATAACAAATAATATTAACAAATAAGGAAAAACATCAAATATAAAAATTACAGAATATTTGCATATCACAATAATTGTAAAAGCTTTTTATTTTGGCCATTAACATGTCAACACAAAATTCATGAGGCTGCCTTGTCTAGCATATATGTGAAAGTGAAAAAAGTCTATATTTAAACTTGTCTATAAAGCAAAAATGTTGTTAGAGTTAATAAGGACTTTTCGTAAACTGTAATTTTCTTGAATTAATGGGTTAAAAATTGATTTATGATCCATTGTGTCATCACTATTCAAAAAGAATTAAAATATAAATAAATAGACAAGGAATTCAACACATTTATTAAAAAAATAGTTGTAAAATATATGTTAAAAATTTAAATTCTGTCTTCATTTACACTCAAGTTGTTCCAAACCCATGAACTATCCATTTAAGTTCAAACTGATTCCCTGATAGACTGAATGCATGTTATTAATCTCCAACTCTAAAATATGCTTTTTACTCATTTATATACAGATGTTAGAAGATGTCTATCAAAAAACACTCATGCCAGCACGCATGTATGGAGCCGTGGATAGCTGACAGAGTTCATGGGATGACTGTGCTGGTTTTAACCTTCTGTCGACGGGCTTGTGCTATAAAATGTGCATTGCTGCATCTTGGGGAGGGGTGTCAAGGTCCAATTCTCACTGTGTTTTTATAGGCCGGGACAAGCTCAAGCTGAAGGATTTACAGTAGTTCTTTATTGTCTAAGAAGCAGATAGGAAAGATGTCAGGGTCTGGTGCAATGTATGAGACAGAAAAGCTCCACTGGTAGAAAAAACTATCCCAAAGGCCCTGTTTAACACCTGGCATAAAGATGCGTCTTGGTCGATCGGATCACAAGTAGACGAGGGAGACACTCATTTACACCTGGTGTTTTAACCCATCTCTTGTTCAATTCCAACCACTTCTGTCCTCATTTCTTAGAGGGGAGGGTCTATCGGAAGGTAAATGTATGGGCTTTTTCAGATCTTTGGATCTAATGGACAAAGATAAGCTTGTGCAATTTGCATATGTACGTGTACGGAGACGACGGAAAAACATGTAGAGAGACCCATGTATTTAACTTCATCCAATTGTGATCAATCAAAACACGTTTTAATTAGCCTAGTGTCGTCATACTCGGATTCTAGTCAGAATGCAAGTCTGATACTGCTCTATTGGGCTGTGATTATGGGGCGTATTTCAACCGAACCAGGAAAGAAAATGCCTCTGCACTCAATTGGATATACCTACAACTAATCAGAGCAATGGAGTAAGTGACGTATGTTGAATCCTGTAGGAAGGACGGCAAATTCATCTTGCTGATCGACAAATGCCTTGATCGCGGTTCTCCGTTCCTGTTCTCCAACAGCAGCCACCTTTGATGTAAACTAATTCAACACATCTCAAAGACCTCTTTGGTGACATGGATGATTACGTTAATTTTAATCAGCTGTCCATCATCGTATAAAGCCCACCCTGACAATATGATTGGTCCGAACAGCTCTGGTTCGAGCATAATTGCTCCACAACTGATCAAGTCCAGACCGAACTTGCCAACCTCAAATGTTGTAGGCGGGGCAAAGTCCGACTGGCATCCAGGCTACATCTTAATACCACAGGGCCTAAATCTGTTGCAGTCATTACTAGATTCATTGGCATAAAGCTAATTTAAAATCATTCAATGCCCTTTTTCCTCTCCCAGTCTATTGTCACTTTCAGCCTCAATGTTTTCTGCTAAACTTTAAACTTTTAATAGCAGAGAACAATAATTTTGGTTCTCATTAATCTGCATCTGGCACCCATACACTGAAACAATCTTGTAATGCACCCTGTTCCAGCTACAACACCAGTCAAACGTTTGGACACAGTGACTCATTCTTTATTAGTAGCAAGGAATCATTAATATTGATCAGATTTTTTTCTTTTTAATCTCGAACCACTCCAAAAATTTTGCCACATAAATGCACTGTGCTGTGGACATGAAAAACACCATCATGTTTTCTTTTAGATAGTTTT